AATCGATTGGTTTTTCTTTTTATTTCTTATTTTATAAGTCTATATTATAATATAAATATTACTTTCATAATAGTTATATAGGTACGAAAATATGCAGTAAATCTAGTACGTCACTAGGTAGCATCACAGTCGCAAACGTACATACCCGTACAACCAGTGGCGTATTTACGGGGGTGGTCCAGGGGTACTGGACCCCCCCCCAGAATCTCTCAAAAAAAAAGAAAAAAAAGTTTTACATATTTGCAGACCCCGATATTTATGTAAGCACACGCAGACAAGGTTTTTTCCCGTGAACAAAATATTTATATGAAATATAGTTTAAAATTAGCCAACGACCGAACGTTCAAAAACCCGTGTAACTAAACTTATCCTTGTATTGTAGTATTACACTTTATAAAATACCCATATTAGATAAACATCAATAATTCTCAAAAAAGTCAAAACATTCTTATCGCAAGAAATTGACGACGCACATCATTCTCCAATGAACTATTTCTATAGGACAGTATAGCTGGTAGCTATTATTTATCTATTTAAATTTTTGCTTTGTAAACACGGCAATTGTCGTAGAATCATTTACTAAATACTTCATGTATGTATTTTGTTACCGAACGACGGCATCGGCTACGAGTGCAAGTATTTGAATATTATTTCTTCAATAAAATATATTAGATCTATTACTTATGTAAGTACAAATTAAATATATACCTAGTAAATTAGGTAGTAAATAATAATAATAGCTCATTGATCCGATGTGAGCAGTAAAGAATTTATTATTTTTTATAATAACATAAAACATTAATGTAATTTTTGGAGTCAACTGGCCGACAATTAGTATTCATTTAGAACCATGTTTGCCTACTTAGTATTTATTTTCTGTTCAGAGATTAGCAGAGTGATATTTACTTATACTATAATTTAAACCTTTCATTATTTTTACGTGTTAACACGAAGTTGACAACATAATATTATTAAACTGCTATGGAAATAATATTAATTGTCAACGTGTAATGAGAATAATTATTGTCTCTCATTTGTGATAGGTGTAAATACAGATTTGACAAAACCTAACATTTCATAATTATTTAATAAATGGCATCAAATTTATTTTTTTATTTTTTTTATAGTTGTATAATTTATAAATTATTTGTATCTATTTATTGTTTGGAAATTGGAATTGGAATAAATATGTCTTCAAATAAAAAATTAAAACTTTGTAAAAAAAAAGACACTTGGATTTTGTACTTGAAAATTATAAAATATAATAAAACAACTATTTTTTATTCTTATAATCTATTAAAAACTATTTCTATGTATCAGTTACTTACTATAGGTACTGTACCTATCTATATTATGTTGGAATTATTGGACCACCCCCAGAAAAAAATTGAAAATACGCCACTGCGTACAACTTTGTGACCGGTGTCCCCCCCTGCCAGTAGTGTCCAGTCCTATGTAGTAGTTCGTGCTTTAAACAATTTACCCAATAATTCCACTTTTACTTATTTACTATTATTATATTACTTAGCTCGCACCACAAGTCACAACCATATTTAAATATATATATATATATATATATATATAAAAAAAAAGACGGGGCCCAGGCAGCGATTGCTGCCTAGCTGCCTTGGCCAGGCCGACACTGCTGCTATATGCCTATATTGTTGTAATTGTTATTTATTATTATTATTGTATTTTATACTTTATGTTTTTGTTTTTATGATAATTAATCCAGCTTTGCGTTTCGAAAAAAAATTCCACAATATTATTTATGTTTTGAAGTGAATACAAAAACTGTACCTATATAGGTATTAATTTAAACAAAATCAAAAAGTATATCAACTAAATCTATAAGTACATATACATACATTTGAAGACTGAAAAGATTAAAATAATATGATACCCGATCATAAGACTCAGAGAGTAGAGACTGTAGAGGCGTAGAGCCATTTAATAAATTAAAATTAAAAGCTGAAAAATTAATAGGTGGCAGCCCATCTTTTCTGTAACAGGATAGGAATTGAAAACCGACTAAACATTTTTTTCATTGCTTTTCAATGGCTATACTCCTATACTTAATAATTAATATGCATTGTCCCATTGAAATTTGAATTTTATGGCAGATGCACGGTTTAGTGTTCCCTCTTCATTTGCCAATTAAACTACCAGAGCTGCTACCATATGGGAGTTTAACCGTTTTCGTGACGTTTTTCGTAAACAGAGTTTGACAAATCACAGAATACTATAAATAGAATAGATAATATCGTCGTATTCACATATTAGGCGTCCGCACAGGGGGTGCCGGGTGTGCCTGGGCACCCCTCGACATTTTGTAATTGGGGCCCTAAAATTTAAGTCCCAGAGTATAGAAGGATATATGTTAACACATTTTACTAGAATAAATATTTTTTTCTAAAATAAATGGAAAAAAATAAATCATATTTCGCTATAAAAATATTTTAAATTTTCGTGGAATAACTTTTTATGATTATAACCACATTGACTACAAAAGTACAAATAATAAATTACAATTACAATTTTATTAGAATTAGAATTTAGATATCGAATCCAAGGAAATATATTATAGCCTGATAGTTCATACCATAGTAATTACTAATTATATACTACTGATTGATATAATATGTAGGTACATGTCTATTGTTGAGAGGGCCCAACCATATTGTAGGCACCCCACCACCCCCCCCTTCGAAATTCAGGTCTGCACACGCCTATGCGTATTCATTAATTTCATCTAGGTACCTACTCAGTTTTACTCAGTGGTCAAATACTATAAATAAGATATCATAATTCATAGACATAATAATATATTGTATTTTAGTACTCATTTGGTATTTTCATAGAACAATATTATGTTCTATGATGTTTCTGTTTGGCCTCCTTATCTCTATATAGGCTTGCTGTATATTAATCATTATTATTATTCTGTTGTAAAATATTGTTAATTAGTCGTATTAATATTTATTATTTAATAGGTCTTGACTCTTGAACTCTATGGCATGACCACGATCATAATATGATTTTAATCGTTGGCCATGGTATTGCACAACAAATATTGCTTATTTAACGATGGTCTATGGTATATATTTGTTATGACAAAATACATTTACTTTGTCATGTTCATGCATACTGTTTTTACTGTGTAGTGTCTTCAGTTGTGAATTATTGTGTCTATTATACTGTCTACAGTTCTACACAATACACCTACATTATACATAATATTAATACATATTAGTTATTACATATTAATATATTATAATTCAACATGGTCACATGGATAAGTCTTCAGAAATTGGAAGATTGATAGTCAATTGATTACGATTCTCCTTCTGACCAGTGTATAGTCTGCCAAGCGACCAGGCAGTAGTTTCACCCTAGAAAGTGGAAATTTGAAACTAATCGCACAGTCAAATATTCAAATACACCAGAGACGACCAGACAGTTGACAAGAGTAATTCTTGTAAAATATATATTTTATAGGCAGGTACATTTATCATTTTATTTAAATTACACTGAATATATTATTATAATCAAAAAGAGTAGAGAACAAATATCAATTCCTGACAAATTACTGCCTGCTTTTAATCTAAACGTAAAATAATAATCATACATATAACATCATCTCAGAAATGAATAGAGGCAATAGAGTACCAATGATGGGCAGTCCAAACTCAGGGATGGACTATGTGAAGGAACTGAGAAAAGGTAGGTATCGGCCAGTGACAATCGGGATAACTCCCGATTGAGTTATCATAATGACAACACTAAAGTGTTTGTATTAAAAACATACAACTTAGTATGAAACAAATGTATAGCTGATTTAGCTTCATATTGGAATAAAAAAAAAAGATCAAATGCCTCCATTCAAACTCTACTTATGCTTCAAAATGTGATTAAAATAATTTAAAATAAAGAGGATGTCACACCCACATGTGATGTCTCCGTCTTACAAATGTACAACATAGCAAAAACTGTTTGGCACGGGACAACTTTTATCTTTCTGAGTTTGTAGTAGGGGCTCCAAAACTTCTGAACATATATCTAAAAATTATCTATGCAACAGCATGCCCACATTTTAGATAACAAAAATACAATAAAAGTTATTTGCTTCTAAACATTTGGTAACCTAACCTAACAAAAAAAGAGCACACTGTTACACAAATAAAGTTCTTCTTTACCTGTTTGTGAAAATTTGATAGTTCTACAATAAATATCGTGCAAGAAAAGTTGTCCCTCGCAAAACAGTTTTTGCTATGTTGTACATTTCTAAGATGAAGACAACACATGCGGGTGTGACATCCTCTTAAACTGTTTTATCATGTATATATTATACAAATGATAGACACAAATGTTAAACATTAAAGTGGCATCATCTAATAAACACATAGTGAAATAATTATTATACAATAAACTCTCGATTATACACTTTGAGAATTATCATGGGCTTCTGAGGAACTATCTACATTCTACAGCATGCCCTCTAAAATATTATTCTCTATCTTTTTTGTAATGGGTGATTTTACTCAAAGGTTACTTAAAAACATAGAAAAAATGATTCTGCATAAATGCGCTTTGACTATGTTGTGCGTTGGCCAGAGAGAGAAAACAAATAGTGCGCTGACATCCTCTTAAGTACAAAATATGGAATTTTTGAAAAAATAAATGTAAGTTATAAATATTAAAAAAAAATGTTTAAATAAAAATAAATTGTGTACTTATCTACATTTAAATACTATCTAATATTAAACATAATTTTTTTAAAAATATTATGATAGAAACAATTTTGTTTCACTTTGTATTTTTTAAATTAATAGCAAAATTTGTGTATTCATGGTTGTGTGTCACCCTATTCTGTGAATAATCAAGAGTTTAATGTAATATTACTAAAAATGTTGATACAGTTTTTTTATTGAAGATGTAATTTATTGAAAATAATATGTACATTTGATAAAAACCTTGAAATAAACAGAAATAATAAAAGTTTAAACAACTTCCGAAACAACATTTTTCTTTTTTTCGGAGATATATGGAATACTATTTTTCTTTGAATGTTTGCGGACATTTTCTTCCCTGAAAATATACATAAAAATAATTAAAACATATATACCAACATACATAAATGTATCTATTATTGTTATTTATAATTTATTTATAATAAAGACAACTCACTTTCTTTTAAGTTTTTTCTTAGATTCCAACTGTTGATTACGTTCGTGATAGATATGTTTAGGCACTTGTCTATGTCTAGCAATCCTTTTTACTTGTGGATGAGCAGCAAACTTCTCTTTCAATGTGGCATTATATTCTAATGCTGTTCTTTCACGTGGTCTTAACTAAAACAAAATTTTAGTAAATAACAGTTTCATATTTAATTTATTTTTAAAAGTTCAACATAACATAATAAATATTTTTATGAAAGCTTCAAGCTACCTACATTGGCCATATAGATTTGGCAACTACTTATAACTTTTAATGTTCATTTGTATATGATATAAATTTTAAATTATAATCAATAAAAATAGACTTACTGTTCCTAATTTTTCTGAAGCATTTGCTTTCCAAATTCTTATATTCATTTCGTCAGATGCACTTAAAACAAATTTATTGTCTAATGACCAAATTACACTAGTCAAATGTTGCATACGTTTAGTATGATAGATTTCTCTCGAATGTCCCTAAATTATTTAACAAATACAAAATTGTTATTTTTAAATAAATAATAAATATCAAAAAGATAAATAAATACCTGATGGCTTTCAAAAATTCTTATGGTTTTATCATAGCTTCCGGCGACAAATTCTAAACCAGTTGGTGCATAATCTATACAAGTAACAGCAGCCACGTGATCCTTATGCACATTTATTGGAGATTCTAAATTCCGTGTATCATAAGAATAACAACTAAATGTATAAAATCATTAATCAATAACAATTAGGTAAGTAAAAATGTGTACCTATAATCTATTCCACGAGAGAATAATCAGTCCACCGAACAATTTTTGTCAGTGCTGCTCATCTCCCACCAACTTCCCGGTATTAGCTAGATCACTCGATTCTTGACTCGCCAATTGCATAATTTGTGATATACAAAAACTAATTATTCTCTCGTGGAATAGACAGTAATATAAAATTATTAATTACTTATAATCTTCATTGGCAGCAGTAAACACATATGCTTCCATTGGATTCCAGGCTAACTGATTGGTTTTGAGTTTCATTATTATTTTTCGCATTGGTTTCACTTCTCTGGTGTCATAAAGAATTATACTGCGGTCACTTGCACATGATGCTATGAATGTTTATTATACAATTATACAACAATGTATTATATAAAAATATAAAATAAAAATATTATACCTAATACATTAGTGTCAATTTGATTAAAAGCTATATGATGTAAACTATCAACACCCCATTTTAGAGTTGATGTAGGTTGACTTCGAGTAACGTCCCATAGTTGTACTACCTCACCGCAAGTAGCAAATACTTTATCGTTTAACCATTGACAACTGATACCATATAAAACAGACTAAAATAAACATAGTTTAAACAATATTGCCATAAATGGAATTATACTACATTAATTGCACATACTTGAGATATGAATGTATGAGATGGTGTGTCCAATTCTTCAGTATTCCAAACTTTAATGGTAGAATCATCTCCAACACTAAACAATCTTGTGCCATCAGGGTTGAAACTTAATCCACGAACAAACCGGTCATGGCCATTTATACTACTAATACATTTCTTTTTTGTTAAATTCCAAAGTCGTACTTCACCATCATAAGAACCACTGGCTAATGTTGATAAAGATTTAGGATGTTTGGCCATGCAGAAAATACCATCACGATGCCCATCCAAGTTACCAATAAATGGCTTGGCAAAAACTCGTTCCAATTTCACTGCGTTAAGAGCACGAACATATTCACGTGATGATTGAAAAGGGTGAAGATTAGGGTCATAATTCCGAGGAACTGAAAAATAATTTTAAATGTTAGTTATAAGATTAATTAATAATAGGGAATATAGATGGACAGTCATTTATTCGTATTTATTCATAATAAATATTTCAAATAATTAAAATTGGAGAATTATTTCTTTTCTAATTAAGACTACATTATGGGTATGCAATATTAATTTAAACTATTAACAATATTTTGTTTTGATACAATTAGCTAATTGCTAAACAAAAATAATTAATCAAACAATAATTATAAGTAACCTAATCTACTTAAATAAAGTAAAAATAATAATTATAGGTATAATTGATTAATTAGTATGCCACCTATGGCTATACAGTATACACTCTTGCTACCAAAGCCGACTAGGAGTGAAGTGCCCATAAGGCGAGAAGAAAAAAAATGAGCAAGTAAACTGAACTGACTACACTCTTGGCCACGGTTGAAGTAATATGAGCACAAAATACAAGACGTGTAGAGGAACCATTAGAGATGTATGAAATTAGTTATTCAATATGATATACGAATAACTTTATATAAATGGATTGGCACGTTTTTCTATACAGCTAACACAAGTAAAGAGACACAACATGGTAGCTCATCCTGTATTTTGTTAACAAAATTAATATAAAATGTTTATAGAAGTTGTAATATAAAAAATCTCATTAAAATTAAAGAATTAAATATATAGTACAATTTTCTATTCAGCACGAATTGTATCATTCGGGTAGGTAAATAAATAAAATTGGTAATTTAAAAATATTAACCCAAAATACATTTTATGACAACACAAGTATCTACGATTCCAATATAAATGGTATAATAAATGATTTATTTTGTAAAATAATTTTCTTAAAAGATATATAGTATACAAGTCATTATAATAAATTGAAAACAAAAATCAATCATGTATAGGTCTGGTATAGGAACATATTAAAATTTGTAAACACAGTTTATTCAACCAACTACAAAGAATAAAATATAAATTATTTAAAACGTGGATGTCTCTACGTACCTACCTCTACCTGATGTTAAATTGAAAAAACTATTTACTTAAAAGTACAAATCGAATTATTATTTAAAACAATCCCCATAATGTGAACAACTTTAGAGAAAAATACTGATGTAAGCCAAACATCAACTCACCTTTCTGGATATCCCGCTTCGTCTCACGCAAATAATCATCCGGATTCCGGCTCAACACTTTGACTTTCATGATCAAAAAATGTTGTGGATAATAACTGTCAATTGGTCATCAGCGGGACACTATTAGCCAGTAGCCACGAGGGTCAGCGACAATACTCAAGAAATGGAATAAACTATAAAAGACGCAAAAGGCATAACACGAGTGTTATAACTGTTGAGTGTTTACTTTTTGCTATTATGAAATATGAATTAATGATAAATGATAATGGGTATGAGATAGGATAATCACCGAACTACCTAAGTAACCAGAGTGGTAGCTTGATGGTCCAATATGGTTAATGGTTATCACTTTTCGCTTATCAATCATTCAAATTTCGTGCCTTTTTGAAAATTCAATTTTTTTAACTTTTATTACGTACACCACCACATTATTCAAAATTCATATTTTTTTATCCTAAGTAGCAATAGAAACATAATTGATTAACTTGAAATCGACTTTCCCACGTATTTGAGTTTTTGATTTTAACTTCTCAGAAAATTGAAATACCACCATTTTTAAATACTCTTTTTTAATATGACATTTTTAGGAATTTGGGGGATAATATCAAAAATGTGGGAAAGTCAATTTCAAGTAGACTTGATGAAAAATTCAAATCTGTTTTCAGAATTCTTATTGCTTCATTAGATCAATTGGTATGTTTGGCAAAAAACACGTCTAAAATACTATGTCACTCATGACGTGTTAGATAAAAATAGAAAATCACGGCATCGAAGCCCCTTAACTATATTTATTATAACTATTTATTTATAAAAAATGAAAATTTTTGGTTCGATATTGCTTTTCAAATAATTATTGACGGGTGTTACATTTAGATTTTTTAATTGGAAAAAGCACAGTTCGAGTGATAATTTAGAAGATAGGTTTGTGAGAAAGATTACAGCTTTTGGACATACCAGAACCTACTAAAGAATTATGGTTAAAAACAGCAGAAGGATTTTATAAAAATGCAAACTTTGAGCAGTCGACTGGTACCATATTAGAATAATAAACCCAGCAAAGAGTGGATAAACTAAATACAATTACAATATTACAAATACTTCTTTCAATTGTCTTAATGGTTTTGATAGATTCAAATTATTGCTTTTTTTCAATAGACGTTGGCGATTTTGGTAGAGAATGACATCCTAATATCTTTAAGAAGTCACCTTTAGGCTTTAGTAAAAAAAATTATATGATCGACAATTGGAAATATACAGTGTGAAAGTTACCAAATGATAATTTTGGTAAAGAACAACCGTTTGTTATTGTTGGAGACGAGGCATTTGCGTTACATGAACGCTACCCAAGAAAAATATTAGACATAAGAAAAAGAGTTTTTAATTTTAGACTCGCCCGGGCAAGACGATATGTTGACTGTTGAGTGTGCTTTTGGGATTTTAGCAAACAAGTGATGGTTTTCATACACGAATTTTAGTTGAGTCGGATTTTGCTACATTAATTGTAAATACAGCATGTGTGCTATATAATTTTGTTAGTCGTCGGGATGGAGTAGAATACGATGTGTATACTGCACACTAGACTACTAGAGTCTATCGACTCAACTCTTCGATGATCAACCAATAATGCTCGAGATGTCCGAGATTACTTTGCTACATTTGTCGACAGCCCGGAACTTGATTGGCAGTATAATGCAATATTAATTATAAATAAAGTTATATTTTTTAAGAATTAAATTTATAATAAATATCAAAGATGTTTATTTTTTTATTTTTAACCTACCTACTTTATTTTATTCATTTGAAATAATTAAATATCTTTTAATATGCTTATACCCTTAAAGCAGTGGTTTTCAACCAGGGGGTCACTAATGATAGGTTTGAGGGTTGCCAAAAGTAATAGACGAAATGATTTTTCCATTTTATTTAAAAATAAAATAAAGTTAAATTTTTATTTTGTTCTATATCTATAGCACGATTTAAGATAGTAAATCGTGGTCTATAGTATACATTCTATACAATAACATGCTGAGGAGTGTAATCTTATATTTTTATCGAAATAGATTATTAAATTGTTCGTAACTCGTATAGTCTACGTAGCCACGTAGGTACCTATATTTGAACAATTTCAGATAAAATCAATGCTTCAAAATTTGCCTTATTGACGGAAATTCACAAAAATGATTTCAAAATCAAGTATTTGAGTACCTAGGTAATTTTTTTATGAAAAGTTAACGCTAAACTTAATACATTTTAATAGCTAACAACTTTTTTTATGTCTTACTAAGTTTTCTCCCTGAGCTGATGACATAAGTTATTGGTGAGAATATTTCCCACCAATAACTTATCTTCTTCACTAGTATAACGCGTATTACTGAAACACAAAATAAATGTTAATTATCAATTAGAAACGAATTTCCAGTCAAATTTTTGTGCCTCCCGCCAAAAACCTTAACCATTGCGGCACAAAGCCCACTTTGAAGTTGTGCTTTGGACGCCAGCGTTGCCAGTTGTACGGTTTATACTGTACTTATTCGGTTTTTTTTACTCCGTTTACGATATAAAAACCAAAACAGTACCACGTAAATATACTGTTTTTCAATTTTCAGGCGATAAATACTAAATATATAATATAATGATCAATGATCATACCTATATTATAATAATACGGTACATAAGTATATTGATATTTCTCACCATTTCATGAATTATTGTTTTTCAATATTACGAAGTTACGAAAAATTATTATTTTATCATCTACACATAGTACAAGTACTCAACATAAACATATTACTAATAATCACCTCATTTGTAGAAATTTCCGAACAAAAGTTTTTCATCGGGCATATATTTGTATGCTTAAATAGGTTTACTTTACATGTTTTGATAACCTAGTTATTACATTTTTATTATACTTGAAAAAAGTTATTGCATATTTGTTTTTTATACTTGATGTATTTATAGTATTATTATTTAAGTTGGTACAATGATCAATAATCATTAACGATTAACTATATATTAATAATTTTTTTGATGTTGAAAATCTTGTTTTAATTCTGTACGTCTATACTTACTACCATTTTGTGAGTATTTATGTAACCTACTGGCTGTTACAGTGATTATTAATTAGTAATGAGTAGGGCTCGAAAGTTGTAGAAGACAGCTGGAGTTGCACATTATTATACAATGTGTACTCAATTTGTTCTTCTTCTAAATTATACTTTTTTAACATGCTAATCACTGATTGTTTATTTGTGCTGTCAAGAATAGTACAATTTCCATACATAGAACCAACTATACCTAGTGTTGTGTACTTTAAAAGAATAATAATCGTTTATGAGCCGCTTGAAAGTTGAAACTGGCGGCAAGTCGGGTTATCATTATCTATGACAGATAATCAGTAATGTTATCTCTAACCTTAACGTGGGAGTACATGGTGACCAACACGCGGTTAGCTGGTGGGAATTATTCATACGAGATATTTAATTTTTCTACCATCAGACATACTGCTGATCCGGCCGCGTTATCTAAAATGAAAACATTTGATATTAACATCCGAGAAGGTTCGTCATATTTGACAAATTTACCCATAAATTATATAAAAAAAAATTTCGCCCATGTTTACGTTAATATAGTTTTTTACTCAATTAAATTAATTACTGTTAAATGTCTATTTAGTCTATCGTTTGTTCCATTTGCCAGTAAAATCATGATATTGTTAGAAACAAATAACCGCGTTGTTGAAGAATCCATCAGTGTGAGAATTAAAAATGCTTTGGCAGGGTACGTCACTCTTCTGAACTATATGCTACATAAACTGTTGATATTTAATTTATTGCATTTGCATTGTAGAAACAAGCCGGAAAACACGAATATATTCATATCGGATTATGCGGGAGTGTTGTTCCACATTTCAAATTTAGAAGGCCAAAAAAATCAGCTTAGGGTGAGCGTAATGTTTAACGCTGTCATTGGAAATCGGTTTGTAAAATAAATATATATTATGTTGCAGGTGAGCATAGCTTTGAAATTCTACGCTGAACTACAACAGCATGGAGCAACAGAACTATTAAACCGTGTGTATGGGTCATATGTCACAGAACCAGAATCGGGTTTTAATTTTTCTTTGCTAGTTGACCTAGAAAAAATTCCCGATGATTGGGAATTATTAGTGAAAAAAATTGGTCAGTTTAAACGTAATTGTTTCGCTTCAGTATTTGAAAAGTATTTTGACTTTCAAGAAAAAGGTGAAGAAGGCCATAAAAGAGCTGTGATTAATTACCGAGAAGATGAGACTATGTGAGTGAAAAATTGATATTATACTAAAAATATTTATCTAACATTTCTTGTGTACTAGGTATGTGGAAGCAAAAGCAGACCGTGTAACTGTTGTATTCAGTACAGTATTCAGAGATAGTGATGACATAGTTTTAGGTAAAGTCTTTATGCAAGAACTAAGAGAAGGCAGGCGAGCTAGTCAAACTTCACCTCAAGTATTGTTTTCACACAAAGAACCACCCCTTGAACTGCAAGATACTAATGCTCGTGTTGGTGATGAAGTAGGATATATAACATTTGGTAAGAAAATTTGAATTTGACATTTGAATTTTCCTTGATATAAAAATTATTTTCCAATTGGAAAACTATGGCCTTTTGTTTTCAGAAATTAATTTAATTTTAGGTTTGATATATCAAGAACCCTTTAAAAATATAGAATAACTAATTTATCTGTAATAATTTTAGTGTTGTTCCCGAGACATACTAATCGTGCAGCTCGAGAAAATACTATTGATTTGATTCATATGTTCCGTGACTATCTACATTACCACATTAAGTGCACGAAAGCATATATACATTCCTGTATGCGAGCAAAAACAACTGACTTCATTAAAGTGCTCAACAGAGCTAGACCAGAATCTAAAAAATCTAACGAAAAGAAAACTATTAGGTAAGTAATATTTTAAAATACATTTTTTACTAATTTCTTACGTTTAAGAGTTAATTAAAATTTGTAGTGTCAAGCTTAACATTTATTTTGTCTGCCTCTTTTCTCACAAAATATGAAAAAAGCATTTCAATTCTTATTCATATTATATCAAACCATCTAAATTTGTATAATTAATTTTAAAACTTCTTTATTAGCTTAAAAAACTTATTTTAAAACATTATTTATGATAAAATTTTATATTTATCTTTATAAAAAATAATATGACCAAAGTAGATTTGGTTAAGCTACAAACTTAACATTTATTAAATGACCTGTAAAAAAATTATATTTGACAATATAGAAAGATAAATACATAGGTATAAAAGATACATTTGTCAATGGATAATAAATAATTCAACAATCAAAAATTTGTAAAATTACTTTAATTTATAAAATAATTTACTTGGATATACAATAACAAGTAATAATAATTATAATCAAAATTAATGATATTTATTACTTAAATTCCAAAGAGAATGGTTGAAAAATATTAAGAGAAAATATATTTTAGCATAAAATATTTAAAAAAAAAGAGTAGTGTTTACTATATTACTTATTTAGACATATTGACCAATTAAGTAAATTTCCTAGTTTATTGATGTATTAGATTGTATAATATATTATGCGGGTTAGGTAACTTATTGAAATGACTAATGAGTGTGTAGGAGTATTATACTATAATACATTACTTTACATTTTTGTACCACTCTAGTATGCTTGGAAATGTTAATAATTTATTTATTAAGTACCTATGTAATTTATGTAGTAGATTAGTATTGGTACAGAAATAATTGCCACCGATCAGTAGCATGAATTAACTGGTGTACAATTTCACACACACAAAAACAAACCATTTTGTTATAATAAGGAGTTTTTTTTTATAGAAAATACAATCTCTTATTAAAATACACAAATATAATGACTTTGTAATTGTTAATGTTTCAGTGGCAGATCATTCATTCGAAAGGACTGAAAAAATATTTTACCTTTTCAAATATTGTATAATTAATAATAAATAATGAAAACATTGAATTTATCTTAAATTAATGTTAACAACATTGATTTTTAGTCTAGTATGTATAAATATTGTTAGCTAATATAACTAACCATTGTTTTAAATTTATAAATAGTAAAAATAAAGTTGTGTATTCATCTTTTAATTTTTTTTTTTAAATTTTATTATTATTATTTATAATATATATATCATTTATTTAATTGGAACAATAGTATTGCATTTATATTCATTTAAATTACAATAATAAATTATTTATTTATTTATAAGTTGTTATTGATTAGACTTTGATTTACAATTAACTGTCATCCGCAAAAGGATTTTTACTTTCATCATACTCATCATTGAAAGGATTTTTATTATCATCGTACTCCATATCTTCGCCATCTTCATCAAACGGATTTGTGTTTGGTTGTTGTATAGTTTTTACAGATAATATTGGACTCAGTCTTGGTGGTGTTTGTACCACTGGAGCTACAGGTTTAGGTGATAATACTACAGGAGATGATACCAATTTTGATTTAGCTAGTTGGTTTTCAACTGTAGATAGATCATCAAATAGACATCGACCAAAGTACTCTGATATTAGTGAAAAACTATCTGTAGCTCGTTCTAGCTGACTATGGAATGCTTCATTATAATCTTTTATCTGGCCCTAAATAAAAAACAATTTTACATAAAAAGTATTCATAAATACGTAAAATAAATTATGTATTATTGCAATCATTATCAGATAACATGGCCGGCAGCACAACAATAAATAATGGTTCTCAAGATTTAGAGCTATTGACCTAATATGGACATTTAAAGATCTTTGTATGTAAATTTAACTTACAATGGCATAGTCATAGAGCCCGCCCAAAATCCAGGCAAGAAATCAATTTTTATGGGGTTTAACACCTTTAACGCCGCCCGTGATTTCAGAAATGACGGTAAAAACAAAAACTATAACCACCCATACCTTTAAATTTAGAGTTCATTGTCGATGGCCAACCTAAGTTTCAGAGTTTATTAAAAAAAAAATCAGATTTAATTATAGCATATATGAACGTATACATTTTTGACGCGTTAACGCTTCATCGTCCTGTTGTAATAAACTCTGTTGACGCGTATAAAAGCGTTAGCGGCGTTGAAAGTGTTAAAGAAGATTTGTATTGTATTTTTTTTTTTTTTATTATTTTATATAGTTTCTTAACTTAGGCAACAACGAAAAATGTTGTAAATTCTTAATGCAGCCTTCCAAAAATATAATTTGGAGACCCCTGGCATAATAATCTATTAATAATATCAATATTTATTTCATATAATATTCCCAATCATGAACCATACATTTTTTTTTTATGCCAGTTGTAAGTGATGTATTAGTACCAAGTGGATAGTAGAGAATCTAGTATGAGAACAATAATTACTACTGATAGACAACAGCCTAACTACTCGGTCCGCAAAGTTACAAGACTACAGTATTTTATTAAAATTTACTTGAGTCCGTATGATATCCATTATTTGTTTATTGTTAGGAGTACAAGCTGGACAATCATCATCGCTTTCTGAAAAAGCTTGGAAACAGCTAAAATAAAAATAAATATTACAGAAAAATATATTACATAAAGTAATAACCGGTTTATGTTGATTGATATTATATCATGATAGTGAATATTAAAATATAAAGAATAAAAAATTAGATATTTTGAATATGAATGTAGAAATTAAAAATGTTTACTAACTGTTGATGGTATGAATGTTGACACATAAAATGTACACTGGGAAGTTCTAATTGGTTATTGCAAGCACTACAGCGCAAGCCTTGAAAGACGACCGCACTGAAAAATAAATGTTAATGTTTAAATTGAATATTATGTATTATTGTTAGGCATGACTGTATGTACCAATTTTTTAATTTTTCTATGGTGTGTTTTAGGGTTTCTGTATCTTTTTGATATTTATCAACCATTTCTTTATCCTTTTCTAGAGTTTTTTTTTCAGCGCCAAACAAACTTGTTAGATAAGCTCTAACATGACCAATATTAATGGTTTTAGATTTGGCCAATGATGTAATAGTAAAATGAGCTGACAGAAGAGATTTTCTTTCTATTACAACAGATAATTATTATTAATATTTTACACTGTTATAAAGTACACATTGATTAACATGTATTTGAGTTTTTTGAAATTTATATGAAATAGTAGGTTAACTTTGGTATGTATAAGGAATTCCGGACAAAACGTCCAAAAATACAAATTTTTCAAATCACAAAATAAATATAAATTTAATTTTTTTTGTACAATATTGTGTTTGATTTTTATTTATTATAACTATACAGTATACAATTACAATTTTCAAGTTTCAAAAGTCGAGATACAACAGAAATCTATTTGGTAACTACCATTCGATATTTGTAAATTAGGTAGATATAAAGAAAATAATCAAATATAAAATGTTATCAATTTTTGAAAATTTGGTTATTTTAATAATTTGTATTTTCAAAATTGTAATTGGGTTAAAAAAAATGTGCTGAGACTTTTGTCCAAACTTTTTGACAGATTATCGTGTGCGAAGTTCTACACAAAAATTTCAAAATACATTGTACTATTTATTAGTGACGATTGATGATTAGCCATCAGCTATCATTATTCTATAAATAATGGTTGTTACATAACATACAATTATGACGGCTTAATAGAAATTTATGAACTCCATAGCATAATAATTAATATTTACAGTATACATCTAGTGTTAATGTACACAATCACTGAATGAGTTTAAGAAAAATTGTGAACACAAAATGAAGACTTAAAGGAATATTATTTTCAAAAATCATGTTGAAATCCATAAATGTTTACAATAGACAAGCTATATTGTACATGCTAAAATCAACTTGATATACACTGTTAGAAGATATTTAATCAGTACTTGAAAAATGTTTTAAAATAATAATTACACTGGTTTACTTTAAAGTACAATTAAATATTAATATAATTTAGCGTACATACAAGAATATTCTTTATAGTGGTACATACCAATTTCGTTTAATATTTCTTCCAACATAAAAGGTGGAAACATGTCATCTACCATTGCTGTATTAAACAATAATATCCATAATTTTGATTCTATATGTCCATATCTCCTACAACATTCTATTGCGCCAATGTAATCATATAATGACAAGTAATAGCGAATTAACTTTGAGTACCTGAAAAAAAAAATTATTGTAGTTATAATGAAAATAAAATATTATTGATTGTTTTACTTAACTGTTTGTTGCGTTCAAAAATGTAGACTATGGCTGGTTTAAATTCAAAGGACGTGGCTAAGATTAAAACTTGATAATAGTCACATGTTTTAATATCAGCAGATTGTAGAATATTAACAATTTTATTTTCAATTATGCTACGTTTTTCTTGATTATTTTCATTTTTCCACACAATCAAGCAATGTTCAATGTATGTATTCAGTAACGATGTAGACCATTTATCAAAAAACTTAAATAAATACATTAATTAAATCATTTTGATTTTTATTAAATATTAGTTATTACTTTTCAAGTAACTTACATTATCAAAATGTTCCAAAAAATCCACTAAACATTCAGAGTCGTCAAGCAACAAATAAATGAAATCTTCAGGTTGAGCTAAATTTCCAGACAGGTCTACCTTAAAAAATGATAATACAATTTATATTTAATACAAACTTCATTATCTAAGAATAAATTAGGCATTTACATTGGTTGTAGTATAGCAGGTGGAACATAATTTCTTCAAAAAACTGACTGTGTCTTTAGGAACATTTTCCATGAATATGTTACTATATTGCTTAATTGTTTGTATTGACTGAAATTAATAAAATATCAACAATTAATTTAATTGCTATTGGTGGTTACTTAATAAAACAATAAGATACCTGTTCAATGGAAAGTTTTTCAATATATTCTAGAGCTGATGTATACTCATGACGATCTTCCAAAAGTATTTTGATGTACAAAGAATGTCTGCTATGTTTTTCAGCTAATGCAAGTGCATTTTCAGGTGATGACTGTCTACAAACTTTTATTGCCACATCCACATCAAAATCAATGTTTTCGTCTTTTGTCTGTAATGAACACGAATTAAAATTAATAAATTTAACATTTCATTTTCACTGTTATTAAAAATCCAAAACGTTATAATTACTACAATAAATTCTTGAAGTTTGTCTAGACTGTTTAATTTTGAATAGCAGTTGAACAACAATGTTGTATGGTCTTTATTTGCGTTACCTGATTTATGTAAAGCATGCAAATATGTGGTTAAACTGTCTATATATTGAGAATCTAAAAACTAAAAATATAAAGTGTATTAATATTCAGTTTTAATTTTTGCATAATTTATATATTAAAATATTTACTTTTTTGATGACATAAGATGGTTCAAGTTTTCCAATTGTTTTTATATATTGTTCTACAGCACCACTGTGATCCCCTTTAGTATACAAATGGTCACCATATTGACGAAATATATCAATCAGAGCTTGAGAATCATATTGCTGACACTTAGCCATACGTACCGCAACATCGTACAAGTTTTTCTTAAATAATACAGTCAATTTTGATTGTAAATCTTTTTCTATCAATTGTGATAAACATCCTTTAGTTGTTAAAATATACAATGATCCCCACTCTGGTAGAACTGATAAAATGTCTGGCATAGTAGTAGTATAAATTATAAACTTATTTTGGATATCTAACACAGTGATTGAAATAGACTCTATTTCATCACTGAAAAAAAAATTTGAAATAACAGTTAGTCACACAGAAAGCTAGAAAAAGGAAACATATTAAACAAATCTTACGAAAGTTTTGTAGTAGTAGAGACAGTAATAGCATTTAAAGGTTTTCCTTTTTCTTTAGATACTATAATTAAATAATTTCGAAACCATTGAAGAATAATTTTTTGACCTCCAACAACATAGCAAGGTCCACGACTGTCAACCGTATAACAATAAATGGCCTAATAAAATAAATAAAACTGTTCAACCTAGAACTCAAAGAAGATATAATGTGTATTTTTTAAGGGCTTACATCTTCTTTTGCAATCATAAAATGACTATCAGGTCCATTCACTAACACAGAACACTTGAAATCACATCCTACTGCATCCAAAACAGTCTAAAACAAAGCAATTTAAAGTTATAATCTCTCAATATCACATAAGATATAATCAGAGTAATGATTACTAAAAAATATACCATAGGACAGGAATCTTTGGAAGTAACATTAAATTGTTGCACAGATGAGGCAGTAGATACAAAAAGGTACCATTGATCCTTGTTAACACATTTGAAAGCCATTCCGGTTATTCCTTGACCCAACTCTTTTAACATCTTAGGTTTAGAATTCCGATCTCTAGACAAATCGCCTTTAAACAAAGCTATGCACCCATCTACAAATCCAACGGCCATCAACAAACGATTGTCAGTTACACATAATGTAGTAGGTTTTTCAGATTTTGGTAATTTTGTAGACCGTATACATATTGGAGTGCTTTGGCGATCTCTTCGTTCTAAATCCCAAACTTTGAGAATGGTATTAGTATCTGGTTCATCTTCCTAGATGTAAAAGTTTATGTATATAATAAATATTATAATGAATACATATATAAAATACTCACCCCAATTGTAACTAAAAAACTACTATACTGCAGTTGTGTAGAAAGAAGAACAGCAGACTGATAGGCTCGAAATGTAGTAACTTGAAACGTACGCGTAATTAAATGAACTAGGCCATCATCATCACATGTTACCAAGTGACCATGTCCACTGCTTGTTGAAGTTATTTTAGAGCTCTAAATAAATAAAACTAAGCGTTAGACATTTAATATTTTGAAATTTTGAAAAGGAAAAATATTAATCTGTTGATTCTATTAAATATTATTCTAAAACAAGCACTTAAAATTTTTTAATTTAATTATGTTTGAATTCAGAACTGAACAAGGTAGTTCCTTGATTAATCAAATTAGTGTTTTATTTTTTATTTTTGACACTTAATAATTTTTCAATTCAAATTACTTTGTGTAGTCTGAATTGGACATTAAAAGAACATACTAGAGTTAAAATATATAATTTTACAGATTTTGTATTCTTATTGAAAATATTGGAATAATAGTAAAAACATTTAAACAAAAAATTGTCTACTAAATCTTGCTTTTCACATATTTTATAGAAATTGAGCCATGTACAGAATCATTTCATTGAAATATTAAGATTATTGAATTCTGATTTTAGATTAATCATAGATATAATAGAATTCTACATTTCTACAGTAGTACCGTCTATGAGATTAATGCAAATATACTTTCTCAAGTGATGAACAAAATTCAGTATAGCTATAATAATAGATTTATAAAAAAAAACTTTAATGTCATAATTATAGTATATAAATAGTATTATTTAATAGCATTGCAAAACCGTAGTTCAACAATATAAGACATTATTTTCTCATAAAATCTGGAGGATAAATACAAATAGAAATTATCAAAATTACGTACACCGATTGTTTGGGATATTTTTTTTGAATCTGCATCATGAATAATGTCGAAGAAGTTAAATTTTCGCCACTGAAACATAAGAAAAAATAAATTGTGTAAATACATTTTTTGAAATGCCATTATTACAATCCTGGCCATTGACCAGATAATGTTCTTTGGTTTATATATTATAGACAAATAAAAAATACCACTATAATCAAATTCAAAACAAAACATTTAAACTCACTTCTAAAAAAGACATGATAGCTTTTTTTACTCAAGCATTAGGGAAAATGTCTGATGAAAAATTAGACTTGGAAGGACTTAGTGATATGAATGATACAAATGTCAGAATATATAATAATTAATAATAATTATAATATAAAATCTCGGGCAACATCAAATCAGAAGAAAGACAAAAGATAATAGTTTAAACTAAGCTATTGAACGGAATGAAAATCATTTTTATTGTCCATCATAATTATGACTTATGAATAAATTAATTATATATAATATCATCTATCTTATGTTATGGCTGTTGGGCGGTGGCCGGTGGGTACTACTACTACTATAGTAAATATTATCATAAGTAAAATATGAATTCGGTTATCAATTGTCGATGAAATGTCATCTGATAACTTATCATGGTCTTCTGTAATCAACCCGGTCACAAGTCTTTTGAAACCACGACCTTGGTGGTAGTGAAATACCGTACAATCACTTAACCAGTGACCACTAACCGCAAGCCAAGTTGACTTTTGAATTTTTGAAATAAAGCCCACTTCGAAAGCGCTTGCCCTACAAGTTACAACGGGCTGTCGACGGTTATCGTAAGCCGTAGATCCCGGAGCTTTTTAGATGCGTCCGATTAATGCTTTCGAACATTTTACCGAGGAATTGGCTTCCGTCGCGAGTAATCATTACGGTGTCCATGGTCCATGATTTCGTAGACGGTGAATCGGGCGCCCATTTTCGCGTATTGTTGTTGTTATCGAATGTGCCTACGTATCGGACGAACGCGATTGGTCGGTGGTAAAAATTTTTTGAAAATCAAATATGGTGTTGCAACGCTCCAAAAACGCGCACTTTTTCACAATCGATGACTGTCGAACACGGACTATACGCGCGCCGAGATCGGTTTTAGGGTCTTCACGAACGACGTCCACTCATTGCTGACCAGCGGACAGCATTATTTGGACCGGGGCGTGACCACCTACGAAGACCTGATCCTCTCCCGACAGACGACGATCAAAGAATCTCCCTCGGAGACGCTGCCGACGACTAAAGGATCCAACTGGACACGACTTCAAGGCAGCAGAGAATAGATATCGAACTTTCGTGGTCCATCCAGTTCCTTCTCCAACTACAAGCTCAACAATGTCTAACGCAGGTGGGTACAAACGATGTGGACCTCTGATGACAAAAATGATTATGCGTTTCACTTTCCTCTGGACCATTAATTCTTTAATTCGTTTTCGTCCCGTCTTAACCTTTCAATCGCAGCATCTTGAACCTTGTGGTCTGCAATTCAAATTCTAATGCTTGTCAACTGTGAAACCAACTGAACCCAATACTTTTTTGTCATCTTTTGATTAAGTGTTTCAACTGTAATTACCTTATTCTGTTTATTACAGTTTTGAATCTGATTTTAAACTAATAATTATAATTTTATCATAGAATCATTTATGCAAAAAATAGAAATATTCCTTGGCAGTGTATATGTAATTCATACAATAATACAATGTGTAATGGATGCTGATATTTTTAAAATTATCAATGTTATGTTACAATACATAGTCAACAAATACAATGATAGTAGTTGTATTAATGTGTTAGCACTTAATAACTAGTTTTCTATTACTCAATAACTAGTTTTCTGTTACCGAGTACCTAGTAATTTTAATTACTTACTAGTTTCCACCAGTTGAGAAATTGGTTTTTATGACATTATACATATTTTATGCTCGTGGTAATGTCAGATCAATGCATTTTCCTAATCACTGTATTTTCAGTGTATCTACAATCTACGTAGTTTAACAAAAACTATTTAAAAATCCATTAACCGAATTTCAAATTTTTAGAGTACCTACCTATATTATTTTTATACACCTTAAATTATCATATTCAAAATTATGTCAAATACCTTGTACCTAATTGATTTTCTAAATTAATTCTTTCATAGTTTCACGCCAATTTTGAATTGTTTTGACCTCGAAATTATTCATATTTCTCTTTTTAGAATCCAGAGGTCATTCACCTCAATCAGTAATAATAATATATACACAATTAATAACATTACAATTCAGACATTTAAAAATCTATAAATATAATTGACCAAACAAATATTTAATGAGAATAAGGATATACCTATGTATTTTACCTTAGTATTTTAGTAAAAACTTATATGATTCATCTTAATTTAAATATAGGTACCTAGATAGATGTTACTTTAATTTATAAAGTGTTTTTAAGACAAAATTACATTAGGCATAATATTATTATTATATTAATGTATTAATTTTACCTACCATGGTCATAATTGTCCTAAGAAACAATTTAACATTGCCCAAATGATGCTGATACCTATTAATTTTTAATTTAGTTCTACAGTTTTTAAAATGCCTTTAACCTATCTCTATTATAATCATTATCACTTGTGTAATAAATCTTACTCTTGTAATTATAATACACCTATTACTAAATTTTTATACTTTTTATAAAGTATCTTTATAAATAACTAAATAATTTAATTTGTTTTTTTTACTTTAGATTTTGATAGTCAAGACTTGAGTGGTCCAAGTGTGTTGGATGGTGATTACTTAACCATGTTAAGTTCTTCTGACAAGTTAATGTCGGGCGAATATGAAGCTATTGAGCGACTGCAAGCTGAACTAGATTTATTTGATGATCCAAATAGGACTGAAGAAATTGTGGAACAAATGGCTGTAGAAAATCATCTAGATATGATTGAAGAAGAAGTTTGTAGTTATGGAGGTGATGTGACAGGAATAAAAGATGGACTAGTATTAGAAAGTCAACTTATTGATGAATCTTCTGTTCAACCTCAGTTATTAACTGAATCACAAATTAAGTTAGAGACTATAGATTTAGATGAAGATGAAATTGTAACTTTAAAACAATCCCAATCACATTCTCAGTCTGAGATGTTATCTGTTAGTAGTTCAAGCGCCATAAAAAGAAGTGCACCACAAAATCTGCATGGAAATCAACAATCAAAGAAACCTGTATGATAGACCTTTGATAAAAAAAAATACATGAAAACATTTTCAATTATTTTATTTTTATTTTAGTTGCTTACAAAAGTAATGGTTAATACATTACCAAGTACAAGTACTGGAAGGAGTACTCAGCAGATTTTGTTAAACGTTCCAATTGGACAACGTCCACAATTAGGTTCAACTAGGACTATAACACTTACACAAGCTCGCCAAATGGGTTTACTTGCTCCAGGTTGTCGACTCCAACCTGTAACTTCAAATCCAGGCACAACACAAAATAAAGTATGTTATAATTACATTTTAGTTAGAATTCATATTAGGTGATATCTCTTATTTTTAAATCTTTAAATTTGTGTTGTTTCTTAAAATATTATCCTACTATACTAACATTTTTAAATATACTAAAAGGTCACACATGACATGTTTCTTTTTTCACTTAAGTTATTTTATTTTTTATTATGAAATATAGAATATGGTAGTAAATAAAATTTCGGGGACCATGAAGAAAGGGACAACAGGTACCTTGAAGTCATCTGTGCCGACCAAAATCTTGCCAGCACCAACTCTAATAACAAGTAAAAGTCCAATGATGCAACAGCAAAAGATTTTTATACGACAAGTAATTAAAAATAATAAATAACAATTATTTTAATAGATCAATATATTTTTTAGAGTTAAAGAGTACTCGATTTTGAAAATACTAGCAGAATTCTAGTACTCAACTTTACTCCACGGTTCTATTAAATACATACATTTTTAATTTAATGAGAAAAAAATTAATTTTAATATTAAATTTTTAGTGTTAAAATATTTTTTTTAATACATTTTTATTATCTAGTTCTTGTGCAATTGAAAATACTTCAGCAATTACATGTATTAGACCCTGTTCGAGGGATAGGTTAGGTATTCGAGTACTCGACTCAATTCAAATTAAAAAAGCGGTACTTGCCCAACTCTAATATTTTTACATTTATTTATATTTTCAGGGTGGCGTTTTCAAACAAGGAACACTAGTGTCAACTAGCAATGGTGCAAATCAGGTTATAAGATTACCGTCTATTGTAAGCCAGTCGTCATCACCAGTATCAACTATTCAACATATACGCCTGCCAACAGTTAATGCTTCAACCAGTCTACAACAAGGTAGAATGCCAGTAGTAACCTCTGGAATACAACAAGTACCTAATAAACAAGTAATACTAATCAGAGACAGTTTATTGTTATTGAAATAACATAAAATTGTATTTTTAATTGTAGGTTCAATACATAAGACTAGTACCCACAACAGCCACAAGTAGTTTAGGTTCTTCGACCAAATCTGTTGTAACTACAACAACAGCTACATCGCTTCCTAAGCAACCTCAAATAGTCACATTATCAACTTCGACACCAAAATCAAACGTTAAAACTACAACAACTGTAGCTAAGACTTCTACAGCTAGCAATCAACAGCCAGTTACTAATCAGATAAAAGTTTTTACTGCTTCGCCACATGTATGATGTTCAATTTACAATTATTTTTTTATTATTAAATCTTATAAATTTTATTTTTATAGACTGTAACATCTAGTCAACAAAGACCAATATTACCTGCAGGTAAACCTAGTACAAGTACATCAGTAGAATCAAAAAAACCTAGTAGTTCTAATATTCCATCGATAAACTCTACAAGTTCTAAACAAGTAAGTTTAAACAAATTAAACTATTCTCACTTTTCCTCTAATATTATGTTGTTAAATAATTCATAGGTTTTAACTCCACCTAAAGTAACGATTAAAGAAGAATTATTAATCGATGATACTATTCCTGTAAAAAAAGATGATAAAAAAGAAACCAACTTAACTACCCCAACTGTGCCAAAGATTGGGAGACCATCAACATCTACTGCACTTGTGTTATCCGAAACAAAACCCAAATCAACGAGTGATGTAAATAAAACAAAAAAACCTTGCAACTGCACTAGATCACAATGCCTTAAACTGTATGTTAAATTCCTTAAAGATTTTTAGAGCAACATTACTGACAAGTTATTGTATATTGTTATAGTTACTGTGATTGCTTTGCCAACGGTGAATTCTGTTATCAGTGTAACTGTAATTCATGTTACAACAACATGGAACACGAAGAGGATCGAGCACAGGCAATCCGCTCAGTATTAGATAGAAATCCAAATGCATTTAGACCAAAAATCAAAAGCTTCGTAGGTCAAGCTGAACGACAACATACCAAAGGATGTAATTGTAAGAGATCGGGATGTTTAAAAAATTATTGTGAATGCTTTGAAGCTCGTATAGCATGTTCACAAAACTGTAAATGTATCGGATGTCGTAATATGGAGGACGACTCTCATACTTCATTTGGGGACCATCCTGGGTCTCTAAGTGTGGACAATTTAAAATCCAGAACAAAATCAGCTAATTTTGTAACATCATTTGGCAGCATGCAAGCTGCAAATGCTATACCAAGGTAAAACATGTTCCATAACTATTGATATACTAGGAATTTCATTTTCTGTACTTTAATTTAGAACAGTTGCACTGATTCAACTATTTGGCCAACTTGACATCACATTGAAATCATTTTCTTATTTTTCAGTCAACCATTCAAATTTTTTACTAATGACGTAGTACAAGCAACATGCCGATGTCTTTTAGCGCGTGGCATGGAAGCTAAAAAATTGAACGCTGGTGCTGAGGAATGTCAACGTATAATAATCGAAGAGTTTGGACAATGTCTTGTCAAAATCATGGACCTAGCGTCTGAAAAATCATTTTTATAGTCAAATTAATTAAATTATATATGTATAGTCTACTTTAATTCTAAATTGATTGTAGTTTGTGTATAATCACTCGCTTATCACTTTAATTATATTGTTTGTTTTGTGTTGGAAAATTCTGTACATAATTTTTTTATGTATACGTACATATTTTTTTAAGTCATGTGCATATTATGGTATCTGAATGTTTTTATTTTCAAATTTTATTGACGTGTGTAAAACAAATTTCTTTAAATATTTATTACAAATTTAACATTAAAAAGCCTTTTTGTTTTTATTTATTAAATATTTAGCCTTTTCCTTCACATTGCCATCCCTGAATATTTCAATCTCTGGTTTAACTCGGAACGGTGCAAGTAGTTCCTTTGTCTTCTTTGCTTTACGCTGAATTTTATTATTGGTATACTTGTCTTTCTTATTATCCTTCAATAAACGTCTTGTCTAAAAAAAATATAAGTACATTATTACCCATTGAAGACATTTATAATTTATCTTTTAATAATACCTTTGCTGGAGTAACATAAAATGGATTTTCCCAAAGAGTTTCACCACAAAAGCTTCCTTTAAAAATGCGAATCGGTTGCAAAACAAATCTTGGTCCTACAAACAAAGTTAAATAAATTAAATTATGGAATATAAACTTAGAATCAGTTTGGTTTAAAAATTAGAATTTTACTTACCAATTTCAGCTATTGCGCCATTTTCATCCAATATTTGATAGTTCCTAAACCATATTCTGTTATCCAATACAGAGAAGTTTAAAACATTGTCAACGAACGGTTGACTTTTAGGATGATGGTCTGGCACACCAAATATTTGTACAAACATTTCTCGTAACAAAGAATATTGTGGATGCTCATCAAATGAATTGTCAAAAGACAACAATGGCCGTGATCCTTTTAAGCAATTGCCAGTTAATTTCAGTTCAGCACTTGTGAATACTAAAATTAAAAATAAATAGTTAAATACGTTGTTCTAATCTGCACCATAATCAAATTACTCACTACTTTCTACATTGAACTTAATACTAGGACCATCTGGTGAATTAGAAAACCACATGTACAAATCTCTTTGAAGTCTCCCATCAAATAAAATGCATTTGTTACAGTGAGACATCTTACACATCTATCAAAAATTAAATGCCATAAGAAAATAATGAAACTTAAAAAATAAATATAATGTAACATTTAAACAAAAAAAAATTGAATAATTCAACATACTTCGTTAACCACAAACAAATTTTCTTTACGTTCCATCTTGTTTGCCGATTTTGCGTGAGGCAACAGTTTGATTATATCTTTCATCAAATGGCGATGTTGAAAACTAATCCCACGAGTCCCAAACACCAGGACTCGTTCTCTGTTTATCCATTTAGCCTAAAATCAATAATATTTAAATAGTACCAAGTATAAAAGCCGTGAATGTATGTATTAGATACTGGTTATTTCCTATAACACAACCACGAATGGTGAAATATTTCGTCTGACCAATTAAGAAATATAAGTAGAAGACACTTCCTATTGGGGTATTTTTTTGGAAAAAATCTAAAAATGTCTACAAACTGGACCCTCTAAGTAGCAGACACCTCTGATTAAGGAATAAAATTTCAATGACCAAGAATGTCAGTTATTTAGGTAGAGGTTTCACTGTAGTATGATTATAATACATGATTATATATCCATGAGTTAGAAGATTTCAGTTGATCTTTTAATACCTACCTCTATCATTTTAGCAAAATCAATCATTGCATTACTTATTAGTTATTAATCATTTTGTACAAAAACTGCTAGCTAACTTACCATATTGATAATACGTATAATGTAAATTACTGTTAATAAGTGTCAATGTTTTCAATGGTTAAAAATTAAATTATTTAAGACATTTTTAGTGTTATAATAACTTCAATTGCTTAAAAATATTTTTTTAGAACAAGACCCTTGGATTTTGTAATACCTTTTATTTTAAGTGGTATTGCAACTTAGGCGAAACTGCATTAGCATTACTCCCCATAGTACTATTACACCACAGTTTGCATTACTTCCCCTGATTTGAATTGTTTGGCTAAAAAATGGGAGATACAAAGTGGGTTTTTTCTGTACTAGGTATGTGAAGATATTGTGCTGACATTGTCTTCATAAAGAACAAATTTAGGCCTACTATGGCTTCGTAATTTGTAAGGATAAACAAATACTATACATGCATTTTTAATACACAGCCTAAAGAACAACCATTATTGGGACATCACACCTACATATTTTGTCTCAGTATAACAAACGTTCAATATGAATAATTAGTTTTCAGCAGTTCCAATTTTGTATAGTAACCTATCATAATATGAAGGAATTGACCAATCATCAAACGTTACGGTAAGAAAATAATATATGTTATCACGGGTTTTTTTTATATTTTAATTTTTAAGCGAGATGAGAATTTGTACAATTAAATATTTTATGTAGATAGGCGTACATAACTTGCTTAAAAATTAAAAATATTGTAAAACCTAACAGATAATATTTTTACCTTTAAGTTTGGTAATAGGTAAAATGCACTTTATTATTAAAGGTTGCTACACAAAATTGAAACTAGGTACTGAACACAAATTAGCTATGTCATACTTTGTAAGAAAGAGACAACACATGCGAGTTCTCCAAAAACAAGATGGGAGTTGGAAGTTGTTTTTCGAGCATTCATAAGCACTTTTGTTGTACGAATATAGCACACACCGTACCTAGAGATCTACGTAAACAGGGAATGTATAGAAGTAAAATTTAATTTGAAAACCAAAGAATCATACCTTTTTGGTGACCGGTTCGTCCGAGCGTCGGACGAGAGGCAAAATCACCTTCGATTCATCTTCTTTTACCACTTCAATCTGAGCTTTCTGCTTCCTCTTCAAATTTTTCTTCGCCATTTTCAAAAATTTCAAATAACACGTGCGATGTGTATTCGTGTGTTTTGTTTGACTCTTCTTTTCAGAGGTTTTGAATGTTTTGATTCTGATAAGTGATAACCACGGACTAAGATATAATGGACTGGAAACGAGCAGCTTATCAGTGGCCTCGAAAGTATGTAAAAGAAGCAAATGCGGGGGGTCGCAACCATAATCCAGAGTTTACAGCGCCATCTGTATAAAACATGGACTGAGATACAAAATATGACGCTAAATAAAACCACTGGTAGCGCTGAAAACTTTCGATTATGAGTGTTGATGATAACAGAGGAACCTTTTGCGGGCCGTCCCTCGTCACCCGCCCACCTTGTCGTTTCCAGTCCATGATTATATCTTAGTCCGTGGTGATAACGGAATACATTCGGATAGCGCGAGATAACGTATGGTTCGCCTACTCGGAGTACCAACGTAACCGAACCAGCACATGCCATAGAGCTGCTGAAGCAAAATATAATATTATGCAACTTAATATTTTTATAGGTACTTACCACGATTTAAGATATCTTAAACATTTGGCGATGTCGTATCTATTGCCTATTATATGGTTATATGAAAGCACAGATCAAAAGTATTAAAGACCGAAGTGCAATTTTGAATTTATAACAGACAGTGTCGTCTTTACAAACTTTTGTTCATCCATTATACCACAGAACAATTATACGATTATACCTTGACCCACTTGAAAGTGTTGAAACCTACAACTGTACAGCAAAGCGAATCCACTTACCGTGATACCGTGATTTTCTGTTTTTGACTAACACACGCGCGATATAGTATTTTAGACGTGTTTTTTGCCAAACATTCCAATTTATCTATTGAAGCGAAAAGAAATCTGAAAACAGATTTGGATTTGTCGTCAAGTCTACTTGAAATCGTCTTTCCCGCATGTTTGATATTATCCCCCAAATTACTAAAAATGTCATATTAAAAAGGAGTATTTAAAAATTGTCGTATTTTAATTTTTGGAGATGTTAAAATCAAAAATTCAAAAATGTGAGAAAGTCTATTTTAAGTAGACAAATTCAAATCTGTTTTTAGAATTTTTATCGCTTCATTAGATCAATAAAATTGGTGTGTTTGGCAGATCATCACTAGTCTAAAATTCTCCGTCGCGTGTGTGTTAGACAAAAACTCAAAATCACGGTATCGAATATACCTACCCTTATAAGAGGATGTCACACCCGCATGTGTTGTCTCCGTCTTACAAATGTACAATTTAGTAAAAACTATTTTGCGAGGGACAACTTTTATCTTTCTGTGTTTGTAGTGGTGGCTCCAAAATTCCCGAACATATAGGGTGGAAAATTATCTATGCAACAGCGTGACCATATTTTACAAAATACAATAAAAGTTATTTGCTTTTAAACATTTGTTTCTTTTTTTTCAAAAAGAGCATGCCGTTGCACAGATAAAGTTCTTATTTACGTGTTGTGAAAATTTGGTAGTTCTCCAACAAATATGGTGAGAGAAAAGTTGTCCCTCGCAAAACAGTTTTTTGCTACATTTGTAAGACGGAGACAACACATGCGGATGTGACATAATCTTAACCACTTTTTTATTTTAGATTCTGAGCGGAGTGATTTCAAATTATATTAACAAAATACGTAAAATTCACAAAAATGTGCAAATTATTTTGTGTTAGAAATTCATAAAAATGTTTCTATTTAAATCTGAGATTTGAAAATGTCATACAAGATTCCTCATGAATTTGTCTAACTCTATCAAAAAAAAAAATGTCTACAAGAAAATCAAATTAAATTTTTATGAGCGTTTGAAGTTCATATTTTCACAAGATGGATATTCATTCTATTTCTCATGTATCGATTTTGTTATTTTGTTGTAATTCAAAAACGAATAACTGTAGATACATGCAAATTTCACTGAATGTTTATATTTTCATTTTCTATTACCATAATATTTTGAAAATATTTTGACTCTTTTTGTACTGTTTACGGACATTATGATATTATCAGTTTTAAATTTTTTTCTATAATTGTCAATACAATTTTATTTGTTCGGTAAAAATAGGTCAACATTTAATACAAGGTTCCTG